ATCAATGGCACAAAACAGCTTAGTACATTGTTTAGACCAAAGTCAATTTATGTGATATTTCAATTTTTTAAAAACAAACTGCATCTTTTAAGACTAAAACTGAAAAAACTGAAGCAAAAAGGAGAAGCAGCTAATTTGTTCCAGAGCTGAAGGAACCCCAAAGCAGTGTTAGAGTGAGTGAGTGAGTGTCTGTGTGTGTGTATAGGAAGACCTACTCCTCCTGAAAACATATCATTGGATCCAGAGGTGGGATTCAAATAATTTAACAACCAGTTCTCTGCCCTAATGACCAGCTGGATAGGCGTAGCTCGGTGGTCATGTGAATGGGTAGGCGTAGCCAACTCAACATCACTCACATCCTTGGGCGCTTCACCTTAGCTGTTACAATATAATAAGGGCTAACCGCAGAGGCAGTTTCTGTAAGCAGGGCAATAAAGAAGAGGCTAGAAACAACACCAGAATGTTTCCTTCCTGCCTTCCTTACAGGATTAGCCCTGTAAAGTGGAAAAAAACAAAATAAGATTTTTTCCAATAACCACTTCTCCGAACTGCTTAGAAAGTTAACAACTGGTTCTCCCGAATAGGTGCGAACTGACTTAATCCCACCACTGATTGGATCCTACTAGTTATAGGAAGATTAGAAATCTAAAACATATTAATTTATCTATATGACAACAGTTTCTACACCACACTTTACCTGGAATCTAAAAGAACTTTCTATGCATGCAAAACATCTCTACTTTTGATCATTGCAGCATCCCATGGACACCTGATTAAAATTTAGGCACTTGGCAAATGACTTATTTATGACAGTTGCAGTGACCGGGTTCATGTGATCACCTCTTGTGGCCTTCTGATAAGAAAAGTCGATGGAGAAGCCAAATTCACTTAACTGATGATACTAAATTAACAACTGTAGTGATTCACTTAGCAACTGTGGCAAAAAAGTCATAAACTGGGGCAAAACTCACTTAACAACTGTCTTGCTTAGCAACAGAAATTTCGGGCTCAGTTGAGGTCTTAAATCGAGGAGTATGTATATTTTAAATGAACTATTAATCCTTTTCCATAAATTAACAAGATTAATGTTATGTAAAATGTCTCAACAAGACTTCCAAAGTTGCTGTAGAAATCATGAACATTTTCTCAGTCTGAAATAATATGTAGTGA